ATTATCTATTATTCCACAGCCAAAACAGAAGTTCCTAAGTCATAAATCAATATTGCAGCTTCAAGAGGGTTTTGTGTCTTTCTATATTTGCTTACTGAGCTACTTTATGAAGAAAGTTCTTTATCTGTAACCTTAGTGTATCCTTATTTTTCTTACTGAGAATCTGTAATCCCTAATACTATTTGCTATCTCTCCTTGTTTCTTTTCTTAAAAAATCTCTACACATTTTTTTCCCGGAAGGAAAGGTGGTAACTTTAAATATTTATACAGATTCTCCCTCCCAAAGAGAATACTGGATTTTATACTCATTATCTTGTTATCTCTTCCATGGTTTGACTTTGGAGAAAAAAAAAATTGGAAACAGAATAAAACAGTGTAAATAATTTGTTCATCTCACAGAGACATAATAGAATGAACACTCAAGAAATGTATTCCTTCTTTTCTGAAAGTGATATAATCTGTTGGTTTTGACTGGGACTCAAATTCTAATGAACAGAAAAGGCAAGTTTTAAACCAGTGGAAGTAACATTGGAGAATGCTACAGAGATTTTGATTATTCAAGTAAATCTAATAAATGTTGAATTCTTTCCATTTCCAAAGAATTATAATGAAGATTGCAGCATGGTTCAGATGTAAAAGTCCTTGCCCTTCAGGTGCTCACAATTTATCCTCCTTCTTTGTCAATTTAAGACTTTGTCAGGAAGACTTTGTGATTTCCAACAATTAAACCAAAGATCAAGTGAATTTTTTATAAAGAAGTTACATTTAATAAATTATTGTACATGAACTGTCTGTAAGAATTAATTCCTTAAGAACAACACCCCAAAAATTCCAGAAAAATATTTTGTAGAATAATTGGTGGAGTATGTCTGATCTTACTCATACATGTGTCCTTTCTCTGATATTTTAATTTTTCTTAATTTAAAAATAATTTTAAAAAGTGAAACATCTGTGTTAATAAAGCAATCTAGCAGGTGTGAACAAAAGTAAAAGCTTTGCTCTGTCTCACCTTGATTCTTTTTTCCAAACGCCAGAGGTAAAAGCTTCATATATGTTCATGTCCATACTTCCCTGGATGTCTAAGGATACTCAAATATGTAAATGCAAATATAGAGAGATGCATGTCTACCTGCAATTATATGCATTGATTTGTTTTTGTAAATTGAAATTCATTAGTATTTCCCACTTGCAATGATATTTAACAATACTGAGTGGTTATAATCCTGACAAATCAGAATAGATGTTTTGGCTTCTCCTTGACATGTTGGTGTTAATTAAAAGTCTCAGGGGAGAGGTGGAATTTGGGAGGATGGACAGCAGCAAGTACAGAAGCATTTATGTTTTAGCCACCAGCATTTCCACAACTGTATGGAAGAGGCAAATACCTCTTCTACTCTGTCATTTGAGAGCTGCAGTTTTCCCAGCCATACACACACATGCCCACATTCTAATAAATATCTAAAAGGACCAATGCTAGAGATGTATTGTTCCTTCCATGTCAACTTTTCCTATTTCTTAATGCGATCTCTTAGAGCTTAGCATACATGTTGTGTGTGTATTCATAAAGGCCCCATGTCAAAAATATGAAGCTGATAAATTGTATTTCCAGAACATTCTTTCACAATTCTCTTCAGAGCGCAGAAGGCCCTTTCATCACAATGCTGGTTGCCATTCTACAGGTTGTGCCAAAGCCACCAAGAACATAGAGCTGTCAAGTTTCCCAGACCTCACACCAGTTACTAATGACAAATATATATTACTTTATTACCATTGTTCTTTTTCAGTTTTCTTAATATAGAGAGAATAGATTTCATGTATTTTGCAGGTACAATTTGAAGAATGTCTCTCCCCAAACCTCTTCTTTCCCTTCCGTCTTTTTTTTTATTATTATTATTTGTGAAGATGTAACTTCAGTCCCTTTTACAATCACAGACTTAATTTACCACCAACAGTAATAGTCAACAATTAAAAAGTAGGAAGACCACAGCTCTTGTCCCATTTATTAGAATGTATTTTTTAGCATTTATTTGAGAGGTAGAGTTGCAGACAGAGGGAGAGGCAGAGATAAAAATCTTCCACCCTCTGGTTCACTCCCCAAATAGCTGCAATAGCCAGAGGTGGGCCAATCTGAAGCCAGAAGCTAGGAGCTTCCTCTGGGTCTGCCACACAGGTGCAGGGACCTGGTACCTGGGCCACTTTCTACTGCTTTCCCAGGTCACAGCAGAAAGTTGGATTGGAAAAGGAGCAGCCAGGACACTAACCAGTAGCCCATATGGGGTGCTGGGGCCACAAGCTGAGTCTTAGCCGATGGCACCACGGCACCAGCCCCTAGAATGCGTTATTAATTCATTGATAATAGGACATTAACTTAAACAATTTGTACCTTTCTACCTAGGACATTGCACATAAGTGTTTATTCAGTAATGTTTTGCATTATTCTTTTGGATGTCTTGATTGCATTCTCACAAAATATCTCAAATATGTCTTTTTTAGGTCTTAAGGTTTCATGCATATGTTTTTGGGTGGTGGTAGGGAGACAGAAAAAGTGGGTCAGAGAGCTCTCATCCACTGCCAGGGTAGGAAGCAAGCCTGGTGGGGACTGAAGCCAGGAGCTGGGACTCTATCCATGTTTCCACGTGAGTGGCCATTCAGTCACTTGAGCCATCCACTACTGCCTAGAGTATTCATTGGAGGCAGGAGTAGAACCAGTTATTAACTCATCCCAGGCATTCCAAAATGGGCTATGCGCAGCTTAAGTCTTAGCCGGTAAGCTAAACACCTGATACTCTCAGATTGTTTTGAAAATACAGGATTGCACTTAAGAATAATTGTGTATTGATTACAGTATTCAACCAGAAGTATTAAGTAGAACAAACAAAAAAAATACTAAGAGGGATAACATATTAAGTTGTTCACAACAGTCAGGGTGAGGGCTGATCAAGTCACCATTTCTCATAGTGTTCATTTCACTTTAACAGGTTTCCTTTTTGGTGCTCAGTTAGTGATCCCTGTTAAGAGTGGGAATAAGAGAGGGAAGAGATGTGCAATTCGGGACATGCTCAAGCTGACTTACCTCAAACGGTAGAGTTAGAAACATACCAGGGGATTCCAATTCAATCCCATCAAGGTGGCATGTACCAATGCCATCTCACTAGTCCAAGTGATCAATTTCTGTTCACAATTGATCATAATGATAGGACTAAGAACCAAAGGGATCACATAAACAAGAATAGTGTCTGCAAATACTAGCTGATAGAATAAAAAAGGGAGAGAATGATCCAACATGGGAAGTGAGATACACAGCAGACTCATAGAATGGCAGATGTCCTAAACAGCACTATGACCTCAGAATCAGCCCTTAAGGCATTCGGATCTGGCTGAAAAGCCCATGAGAGTATTTCAGGCATGGAAAGCCAAGACACTCTGGAAAACCAAAAGAAAACCAAACCAAACCAAACCAAACCAAAAAAAGATCTCCGTGAGTGAGATCCCAGTGGAAAGAACGGGTCATCAAAGAAGGAGGTACCTTTCTCTGAAGGGAGGAGAGAACTTCCACTTTGACCATGGCCTTGTCTAAATATGATCAGAGTTAGTGAACTCAGGGGGCTTCCATAGCCTTGGCAGCTCATGACAAGAGCCTAGGGTGATTACTGATGCCATAAACAAGAGTGTCAATTTGTGAAGTCAACAACAGGAGTCACTGTGCACTTACTCCTCATGTAGGATCTCTGTCCTTAGTGTGCTGTACATTGAGATTTAATGCTATAACTAGTACTCAAACAGTATTTTTCACTTTATGTTTCTGTGTGGGAGCAAACTGTTGAAATCTTAATGTATGCTAAACTGATCTGTATATAAAGAGAATCAAAAATGATTCTTGATGTGAATGGAAAGGGAGAGAGGGAGTGGGAAAGGGGAGGGTAGCGGGTGGGAGGGACGTTATGGAGGGGAAGCCATTGTAATCCATAAGCTGTACTTTGGAAATTTATATTCATTAAATGAAAGTTAAAAAATAGAAAATACAGGATTGCCACATGCTCCTCAGTTGTCACTATGTTGAGTTACAATACTAATGCTTCTTTCTTTCTTTTTTTTTTTTTAACACATTTACCACTTAAAAAATAAGATACAGAACCCTTCATTTAATATGTTCCCGTTGCAGTCACTTGTTTACATGTCAATGAATTTTCTTCTACACTATTTTCTATTTTGGGAGACAGAAGAATATACATTTATTATTTCCTACCAAGTCTTTTGCCAGATCTTTGGGGTATACATTATCTCATTTAATCCAGACCATCTCTCAGTGGTGTTCTTATTATTGACTTTAAGGCATGGAAGTTAAGAGTAGGAAATGTCCCAGGTTCGCATAAGTCCTGGGACCACAATTTGAACACAGGAGTGTGTCTCTGAAGCCCTGTTGTTTTTGCTGCACCACACTAACTCCATCTAAATCATGCATTGGTGAGAATTAAGTGGTGGAACTAGACTACCAAGTGCTGTTCACGCAGGGAATTTTAACTCATATTTTCTAGTGTCAGACACATTAAAGAGAAGAAATTGGTATGCAGTAAGTACTTTAGATGGTAACGATTACAACAGAACTTCAAATACTAAGCAAAATGATGCTACAAAGTGGTTATAGTACCAAAGTCTAGTCTTAGCCTGTATTATTTTAACAACCATGACTGTCAAAATGAAGCACTTCTTCTTGCAAAGAAGTTATTAAATATGTACACATGATAGTAAAAATTCTTCAGAGAACATCATAGGGTAATATTATAAAAGCAGTACTGTTTAGCCTTCTATTTTACTACAAGGGAACCTAAAACAGTTTATAGAAAATGTGTTTGATGAGAATACTGTATATGGATTTCAAGTTTTTGTGAATCCAAAGAACTTGATTTTTCAGTTGTAATTTCCCACAGCCTTTTTAAAGCCACCTTGGAAATTGGTGAGAATACTTTGGAATTTTGAGTATGTTGTTGTTATTTCTCTAGGTCTTCCAGATTGCATATGTAATTGTAAAAGCAGCTAATTCCCCTCGGCCTGGAAACTGGATTTTGGAACGCTCGCTTGATGACATTGAATACAAGCCCTGGCAGTATCATGCTGTGACGGATACCGAGTGCCTAACCCTCTACAATATTTACCCCCGCACTGGCCCACCCTCGTATGCCAAAGACGATGAGGTTATCTGCACTTCATTTTATTCCAAGATACACCCCTTGGAAAATGGAGAGGTAAGCTGAGAAAACTCACTACTGAAGTACAATTAAAATGGCAAAGCAGGATTTGCAGAAAGACTTGAATATATCAGTAATTAATGTCAGGGAGATTTCAAGATAGGATTAAGCAGAGGTACATTTAAATGAGTTATTAACTAAAAAAAGAAAATTCAAAATGATGAGAATTTTAACTATCTTTGTGGGTCTCCCATCTCCAGTGAAGATCAGAGAAGAGGAAATGGGTTTCAGTTGGAAAGCCAGTGATTAATTTTACTTATGAAGAGATTTTCCTGACAATGAGGATTGCTAATGATTAGAGAAGACGGGAGAACTTACAGGCTATCTTAGATTTGTGGGAGCTCCAGTTGGAAGATGGAGACAAAAGAGTTGAATCTGTGAAGAGATACAATCTTCACGAAGAACCCAGATAAAAAGCGCATCTGTGGGTCTTTGGATATTTTTCGGCATTACCACAGAGGGTTTCATGAGGTTTCTTCCCTTGGGTCAGGCTGTCGTGAATGGAAGGTTGCAGGGGATCGCACTGCTCAGTCACGTGCAAACCAGCTTCTGTGCTGATTAAGAAATATGTTCTGCTTCCCTGGTGTTTTTGTATCTGGTGGTTAACATTTTATATTCATTGATTGATTTTAAGCCACAGATTCAAACCATGACTTCCTTGTTGCTAGCTGTGGGTTCTTGATACAGTTATTTGTTCTCTGTGCTTCAACTTCATCTCTTCTAAATTGGGGAAGATGAAGTTGTTGTTCTCATGATTGTCATGAAGATTAAATGGATTATCAAATGCTCTGAGTATTAACTATTTTATGATTGTTGCAATAATAACTGATGAAAAATAATAATGGTTATTAGTCTGCTGTCGAATATAGAACTTCACTCATTAAGCTTCTCTAATATTTTTGTATTTTCCTGTGTAATATAGGTGACTGAACCTTCCGTTTGTCATAGCTGCTAGTCCTCATGCCTGATGTTATCTTACTAGTCCACACATCTGAAACTAGTGTCATCTTTCACATTCCCATTTTCAGAGAGCCCGTGTTCACATTCTATCATGCTCACCCCAGCTGACATGGGTTTTCATTGCACTTCTGGGACAAAGTTAGGATTCTGATGGGATTCTCTCACAGACTCCCTTTTGTCACTGTTATCCGCTGAATGCATACCAGTGCCTCAATGCATTTCAAATTCCATGTTCAAATACACCAGTTTTGTGGGGAAAGATTCTCAGTGGTGTTCTCAGTAGAGATCTCCATCTGCCAAATGGCCTCTTCCAGGTCTCCCATGCGGGTGCAGGAGCCCAAGGACTTGGGCCATCTTCTACTGCTTTCCCAGGCCATAGCAGAGAGCTGGGTTGGAAGAGGAGCAGCCGGGACTAGAACCGGTGCCCATCTGGGATGCCAGCACTGCAGGCAGAGGATTAACCTACGGCGCCATGGCGCCAGCCTCTCTTCATCTTTTTGATAGCTCACAGGTGGTATATTCAGGCTGTCTAGTTGGTATCCTTGAGTTGTTGCCCCTAATTATATAATCCATAAAGAGAGGTAAAGTTACATGTGCCTTTTTTTAAACCACAGTGTTTTCTCTAATCACATTAGATTTCCATAAATGTTAAGGAGAGTTCAGATAATCCCTATATCCTAAGTCAGCCCTAAGCCTAATATCTTATGTAGCCACAATACATTTGTCATAACAAGAAGTTGACACTGGCATCCTACTCTGAACCACAGATTTTATTCAAGTTCCATTAGTGTTGCCATTAGGAATCCAGTTCAGGATAATGAATATCCTTTAATCATTGTGTCTCCATAGTCCCTCTGACAGTTTTAAGAGATATTTAGACATTTTGTAGACTATTGCTCAATTTGGAATGGCCTGGTATTTTCTCACAGTTACACAGAACTTCAGGGTTTGGGGAAAGAATACCGCAAAGTAAACAGCTTTATCTTGACATTGCTTATTTGTTTTAATATGTACAAATTTTCTGTGTATTTTCTTTTTTATGGTTTGATTTATGCTTCTAGATAAATTTTAATTTCAGACAACCACTTCTAAATATTTGGTAGGATGTGTAACATGTATTTTTGACTAGGCATTGAGTAATAACTTTCTTATAGTCCATGGCAATATTCATTCAGTATAAATTTAAGTCCAAAATAAGAAAAATTAGGATATTTAAGGAACACTCATGAAACAAGGTATTATGAAAATATGTCTTAATTATACTGAAAATTTGTTTTAAGCATATAATATCAAGAGAAAATATTTTTATCATGACTAATGATATATCTACTGAATCTAAGGATTATTTTATTATTAATTGTTATGGAATTTTGGAGACACATGTCAGAACCTCTAGGACATTCTAAAATTCTATCTTTCAAGTGAAAATTGCATCATTTTGGAGCTGAAGGGTGCCTTACGTCAATTCTTCACTGATTAAAAGATATCCTACCCTTGACCTCTGTATCTGAATTCCCGTATTCCTTCTGTCCACATCACTGCTGGAGACCATGTGACCTTTTTTTCTAGTCTCTTCACTCTTAACTGTATCATATCCCCTTCTTCAACTTTATTTGTTGTTCCAGCCATCTCCACCTACTCCCTCTGTAGTTTCCTTTGGCTCTTCCCTGGATTCCACCTGAGGTTGCTTTCAAGAAATCAATAGACGTTAATCACCTGGTCTTCCTGGAAGGATCCTCTAGGGCTTATGTCCAGTTCCCCAGATGACAACCACCCAGAAAGAGATTAACACTTCAGTGTAGCATCCTGTGCTTGAGCTCAAGAGAAGCTCACTGAAGAGCGGTGATCCTCATGGGGCATAGGTCTGAGAGGACAGTGGAAGGATAACCCTACCTGTTGTTACCAGACAGTAAACAGGAAGCTGGAGTGAAAGCCTAAAGAGTTTCATTTTAGAAAGGCAATTTTGTATCATCAGTGCCAAGAGAGGGCTCAGCAGGGCCCCTGCTTTCTCCTGCTCTGAGAGGATGATACTGAACTCTGTAATAGGAGATGCAGGAGGTGAAGTAACAGACCACAGGGGGCCTCCATTACTGTGAGGCCAGCCACAGGGAAGAGTTCTGGGGGTAACAGCTACATAGCCAGTGTTCTCCAGCAGTGCCACAGGGAGCTCCGTCCATCAAGACTTAATGCCCTCTCGACTATTGAGGAAAAATGTTTTTTTTTCCTCTTCATACTAATTGTTGAACTCTTTATTTGGTATAATGTTAATCTTATGAGTATAAAAAACTGAAAATTTATCTTTGTAAAAATTAAGAGTGGGACTAGGCGAAGGAGGAGGAAGAAGGATGGGAGAGTAGGTGGGACCAAGGTTGGGTGGGAAGTATCACTGTATTCCTTAATCCGAATATATGAAATACATGAAATTGGTATACCTTAAATAAAATTTTAAAAAAAGACCTGCAGTCATAGCCCAAGTGCTGCCTCTGCTTTTGCTCCATCTACTGAGAACTGCTAATAAGAACTGCCACTTGCGAGCACCTCTGAGCATTTGCCTTACTTAGAAATCAACAAGCAGTATTGGAAAAGTAACTCTTGCTGAGACTAGAGCTTTTAATTCAGTAGATTTAAGAGGGCTCAGGAAACAAAGTGTGTATTTCAAAACAAGTTTCCTTGTAATTCCGATTTATCTATTCCTGACTTACTGTTTAGGTATTTCCAGCGATCTCAAACCCTGCAGGAGAACAGGCTATCAGTTATTTTGGAAAAAGTATCAGTCATTCTAACTACTTCTGGCTGAAGAAAGAAACTACAGTTTTTCCATTGGGAAATTTGATAGGCTTTGCTGTATCAAATCTCTGGGTGGGTCTGAATTGAATAAATACATTTTGAGCTATAACTAGCTTATCAAAAGTTCCCAAAGTCACTGAGAGAGGAGTCATATCAGTAACACTGAGGAGGATGGTCTGCATAGATAGCACTGCTATGGGGATCCTAGAATTAAAATTGTAAAAATGTCTTTTCTTAATATGAGATTTTTTTCATTTCTATGACTGGGTTTATTGCTTTTAATTTCTGTCGTGTAGATTGTCACTAGACTGATAACTAAATAGTCGTCGTTACCATAGTGATTTAGCTCCCATTTCCTCTAACAGAGGCCCTTCAGTTATTTACATATGAGTTTCTCTCCTACCTACCCCAACCCTTCCCGCTTGGCTGGAGTGCACCTCAATGGAAGTTAGATTCACTTTGAATCTGCTTTTGAAACATGGCAGGCTTGTATAAAAATCCCCCGAGAAACCATCATTAATTCTTGAAGACACTTTTTTTTTTCTTTTTGGTAAACTATATGCAGTCCTTTGATACTATTTTGATTTTCTATGTGACAGAATTTTATATATACAGACAGACTCTTTTTCTTTCTCTTTTCATCACCTGAAGTTATAGTGATTCTTAGAATTGCAAATACTAGGGAAGGAAGAAACAAACCCAGTACTATATTAAAAATGTTTTGGAGATCCTCTTTTGATTTAGTGTTGATAAGGGTATACCAAGATTCTGTGTGTGAGTTTGCGTGGATGAAGGAATGGAAATCAGAAATTAGCTTTCTGAATTATCCTTGGCATTGCTGCTTTATGGGGAAGCAGTGAGGCAGTGGGGGGTGTTCTGATTTGTATAATTTATGAATAGAAATTTAGGTAAACGATTACATTTTATTTCAGACTCCTTCTGTCTAAAGGTAATTCTGTATTGACCAACATGGAGCCCATCATTACCTCATGAGGTACAACACAAAAGGCCTCCTGAAGTGAGCTTTATGTGGAGTTCTCCAAGAAATAAAATCATTCAACAGCACTGGGAATACACAAAGCTCTCGTTCCCTCCCCAAATGCCCACAACAGCCATGGGTGGGCCAGGTCTAAGCCACGAGCCCAGAATTCCATCAGCTGGATTTCCCATGTGGGTGGCAGGTTTTCAAGTACTTGAGCCATCATCTGATGCTTCCCAGGGTGCACATTTAGTAGGAGCCTGCATCAGCA